GCTGGACTTCACCGTCAGCATGGATCGCCCCGGCCATCTCTACCTGCTGCACCTGGGTACGGACGGCAAGTACTACCTGCTCTACCCCAACGAGCGCGACAGCGCCAACCGTCTGCCGGCCGGCACCCACCGCTTCCCGCGCGCCGACTGGGCGCTGCAAGCCCAGGGGCCGGCGGGCAAGGGCTATTTCATGGCCTATTGGTCGGCAGCGCCGCACGATTTCAGCAAGGCGCTGAACAAGGACGGCCCCTTCGCCAGCGCCGCCCCCACCACCAGCAGCGTGCGCAGCCTGGGCGTGGTGGCCACGGCCCAGCGCTTCGGTGCCAGCAGCGTGGTCGAGATCAACGAAGTGCCCTGACATTCCTGCCGCAGTTGCGTCAATACCCACGGGAGCAGGGCGCCCGGATCGCCACGGATCGGCGACTGACGTTTCCTCCGCTCTGCGTCCAGACCTTCCATCGGCACCCCCTCCATCCTCAGAAATGCAGACCATGAAGAAGCCCCAAGCCCTGTCCCTGCCGCGGTTGTGCGCCGCCTTCGCCATCGCGCTTGGCGCCCTGTCGCTGGGCGGCGTGGCCCACGCCGACAACCATGCGCTGATCATGACCATTGACTACGCCGGCACGGGCAACCAGCTGCCGCCCGCCGGCATCGAGGCCGATGGCCGCCTGGCCAGCCAGATCGCCGAGGGCATGGGCGTGCCGCGCAGCAACATCCGCTGGGTGCGCAACAAGGAGCTGTCTGCACAGGGCATCGCCGACGCCATCCGGCAGCTGGCGAACGAACGCATGCAGGAGGGTGACAAGGCCTTCCTGTTCTATTCCGGCCACGGCGCGCAGGTGGACGGCCGCAACGGCAGCAAGTGCACCGAGGGGATGGTGTCGGCCGACTTGAAGATCGTGGCCGACAGCTTCCTGCAGGAGGCGCTGGAGGTGCTGGCCGCCAAGGCCAGCCAGGTCGTCATGCTCAACGACTCCTGCTTCTCCGGCGGCCAGGCCACCAAGTCGCTGACGCGCAGCGCTGATGGCTCCACGCCGAAGTTCGCCGTGCTGCCCAAGGCCGGCTCGGCCAACGACGAGGGTTACCAGTGCGGCAACGCGGTCAACGCCAAGGCCTTGTCGCGCTCGCTGGGCGTGGTGGCCTCGGCCAAGTCGGCGCGCATGCTCTACATCGCTGCCGCCGCCGACAACGAGGTGGCCTGGGCCGCCGAGCGCGGCAGCGCCGCCACCGTGGCCTGGGCGCGTTGCCTTCAGGACCGCAACGCCGACCGTGACCGCAACGGC